TTTTGCTTTTAACTTTTAACTGGAGAAGCGGAAACAGACCATGCCAGCGTCCTCTCCATATATGTTGTCATGTACTCTTCTATAGTCAGACTATAGGAGAGCACACAGTCAGTCACTATAGTCAGTTTTATGGTAGATTGAAAGGTTAGCATTAGTGCATCTCTTATCATTTCTGCAGTTCAGCAGAGGACTGCACGGTGGTGGTTTGAATCTGTTCACTGTTGCCTTCGTCTATGTTGACTATCAGGTCAGCCCTGGTTATCAAACTTGTTTGCTACATGACCTAGCTAGCTAGCAGAGTTTGTCAGTTGAGTTAAAGCTCATGAGTTAGCATTGAAGCCTATTCTCCCTACACAGACAACATTAATATGAGTCTAGTCTTTCTTAGTCAGACCTTTCTACAATGTTTTGGTGCAGTCAGACCATTCTGCAGTATAGAATGGTCTGACTGCACCTCACTGTCATTCAGGTACATTGAAGAAATGCTCTAGCTTGTTTGTATTTCTTTTAAACTTTTATGTCGCCTTTTATTCTTAGCAAGGCTAGCCACCCGTGCTAATGTGTGTACACTACACTGTTTACAATGCTAATGTATGCATGCATACACTGAGCTCTTAAATCTCAGTAGGTACAACAGCAAATATAACCGTAAACCAGAGCTGTGTCCCATTTATTAGAAGCCACTGATAACTCCATATAAAGATGAATGGTGTTTACTGTGCAGGTAATAAGAAGCTTGAGTCACTGATTAACAATAACGTAGTAGCAATACGTACAAGGAAGTAGAGCAAGAAACACACTCCAGGTGAGTAGTGATACAACAGCTTAAGGAAGACACGTGCAATAAGTTATACAGATGTTGTTTTGTAAAAATACATCCTGCAATTCAAGACAACTGTCAGACTACTACAGACACACAGCCACTGACAGCCCGCTAGCTGCTCGGCTAAACGCAGCCCCGACACGGTTCGTCGTGTACTTACTTGTGCAATCCCTGCGCCCATCTGCCCACCTCCGATGATCGTAACTTGTTTAATAACGACATTTCTGACAGCCGAGGACGAGAAACCTCTGCGGATTTGCTGGGCAAAGAAAGCCATGATGTGTATACGAGCTGTTGTGTGCAGGTCGGTCTGCAAGGGACTGCGTGGCCGCCGCGGGAGCGCGCACAGCTGAAGCGATATGTGGGGCAAAGTGCAACTCGAGTCTATGTTGAAGAGAGAGGACTGATTTATGCCTGGACCCTTAGTGATGATGAAGTAAATATGCTAATCTATTGGTGAATTTAAACTGGTAATAACTTATTTGGATATAAATCCAAATAATAAAATAATAAAAGGGAAATCACATTTGGGCCTAATAGCAACAATGATGGTGTTGGAGTGTCCACAGTGAGACATTTGGCTGCTTGGACTTTCAGGTGTAGCGTTACCAGAGATTTGAGCAGCACTGATTACCTATTAGCCACAAGCTAAACAAGTAACTGACACTGACACAACTCCATGTCATGCTTCAGGCGTAGGTTTTGTTTGAACACTGCTGGGAGTCAAAACACTACAAAAGTCCCATATTGCATTTTTCTGCATTCTGCTGATTTTTATTTATTTATTTTTTAATGCACCAATATCTTTATCTTCTGCACAATTTAAGGTAAAAAATATCTTTATTTACTTAAAAGATCAACACAAAATATAGGCACCAGGTGACAATTCAAAATGTAATGTAATGTAATGTAGCAAGGTTTCAGGCCTTCTGTATTGTTTTTAACTATTGATTCTCTGGTTAATCAGCTCTACTCATTTATTATTTCCCCTCCTGACTCAACACACATACAGGCAGCGTTTTACTCTTCTGTCCTTCTTCGTGTGTCTTATTTGGAGAAGTAAACTCTTTAAATGTGCATGACACTTGCTCACATTAGAAATAATATAACTGATTTTAGTTATTTGATATAATTTTTGTTCAAAGTAAATGTCCCTATTTGTGTTGTTGTTTTTTTCTTTTTCTTCTTCTTCTTCTTTTTTGCTTTTTTTTATTAAGTGCTATTTTTAGTTGGGGGAAAAATACTGTTGTAATTCAGTTAAACTGACAGAGTCTACAGTTTATTGTAGTTTGAATTTTTACGTGACTTTACATAAAAATCTTGCATGTTTGACAGATTTCTAGTGTTAAAAGTATGCCTACCTCAGTGAAAATGAATGGATTTACTTTTAAAAGAATTAGTCTTGAATATTAAACAAATATTTGCGATTATAAATACAATAATAAACTATTAATTTCAGATCCGTGTTGGTTTTTACACATAACTTTCCGTAGAAAGCGTGCATATTTGATAAATCTTATTTTTATGTTACTTTATACTAGATTTGTAAATTCTCTGTCCTTTCCAGTAATTTTTTTATCGATTTTTTATTTAGTTCATTTAAGAATTGCAGGAGAAAATGCAGGATGTTTAACCTCATCATCTATTACAATGTGCGGTCTTTTCAGTTTCAGCTGTGCGCGTTCTCGCGACGAGCATGTACATCTATGCAGACCGAACGGATCAGAACACCCGTCTGACCTAATGAAGGACACGGACCACACTGCGCATGTTCGGAGGTCACATGATCACACACAGTCAGTGACCTTTCAACTACATCGGCTTCACAAAGTTCAATTGAGGTGTTACATGTGTGACAGTGTTGACCCTGCTGGAGGACAAAGGTTTTAATTTTGATAGAAGTTTAAGTCATGAGACGGAAATAATATGTTTGTCTCCTTTGTCTGGTTTATAGAAATCAATCAATCAATACATAAATCAGTGAAAAGACCTTTCAACACTGGTTTGCCTGGCTGAATATTTCACAGCAAAGAGACCTCATCTCCATCTGTAGACCATCGTTTGACCTAAACAACACAATTACTCTTTTCCCTTAGGCCTTTTTGCATGCTGATTTACAATTTAAAAAAAACAAAACAATCTACAACAATAAATTTGTCATTTTGTTAAATTCCATGAATCCTACATGAACAGGACAGTTTTTTTTGTCAACACACAATTAATTGTAGTACTATTGTGATGCCATCTTTTACTTTTATAACCATATTTGAATTTTTAAAAACTACTTTCTGTGTTATGTGGCTTGTTATGTCAAAATCTGTTAAAAAAAAAAAAGTGCAAACATATTTCTGCAGAGGGCACACCTCCTAGTTTGGTTTCTTTGTCATTCAGCCTTTTGAACTAAATATCTTACACACAAACATTCAAAAATGACAGTACACAAGGATCAAGTGCTGCATTCATGGTTTAATCAGTTAATTTATTTAAAAGGCCTGTGCAATGCCCCTGCACCATGATGTCTTATAAACCTTACACTGTCTCTTATATTTCTAGTCCAGTAGAGCAGAATTTAATGACCTTGTACACCCACTGAGAGGTTCAGCTACAACAGTGGGTCAGATTTTATAAGACCACAGCATC